GCTCTTGGTTGCCTGAAGAGCTGTAGTAGGGTTGGCGGCTTTAGATGGTCTTTTTGGGAGATGGGATGCAAGATGTGATGCAAACAACTCAATGAGGACATGTTTCCACTGCAAAATGAGTACTCATTTTGCTCTGCAAAATGAGCCCTCAGCTCCCTGCCTCCATACCAGCTTGGTGGCCCCATCTCAGCTAAGGATGCTAGAGCCCATTGGCAGCACTGAAGCCCATGAGATGGGCCCTAAATGTCCAACCAACTCACCTGGGTCAAGAAGATCCTGGTCAGGAAGCTGGGAAGTCCTGTTGTGGGCAAGGTGTTGATGGCAGGAGTCTATCTTTGACCTCGCAGGTGCCCCCATGAGCATGGGCTTGCAGATGATGGCATTTGGCATCGCTCTGCTCTCAACCCTCTTCCTGGTCATCGCCACATGCACCGACTGCTGGATGGTGAACGCTGATGACAGCTTGGAGGTGAGCAGAACAGCAAAGGGGCAGTCAGGGCTTGGTCTTGCTATCCTTGGGTTACAGCTCGTCTCCACAGGCCAAGGGAGAGAAGATGGTCTAAGGTCTCTCTTGACCTGGCAAATTAGCCAGGAGCCAGAGCAGAAAGGAGTCACCAGGACCTGCCAGGCCATGGTGGTGAGACCCAGGCAGGCCCGGGGAGCTGAGGGGCTCGATGGTGCTTTCGGAGGTGCCCACCTTCACCTTGAGCTTTTCTCTGCCCCTTTCAGGTGAGCCACAAGTGCCGGGGGCTTTGGAGGGAGTGTGTCACCAACATGCAGGACGGGGTCAAGACCTGCGACCAGTACGACTCCATCTTGGCAGACCACCCAGGTAGGGCAGCATGTGGTGGAGGTCACTCACTGGTGGACCAGTTGTTTCTAGCGGGGACATAGAGCAGTCACAGAGCAGAGTGTGGCCTGTTCCTCAGCCCTGTTTCTGCTCTTTTCACTCTCCTCAGTGAAAATTGTGGTGACGCGGACGCTGCTGATCACCGCAGACCTCCTGGCAGGCCTGGCTTTGGCTGTGCTGCTTCTTGGACTCGACTGCATCAAGTTCCTCAAGGAGGAGCCCCACGTCAAACTGAGGATGTGTTTTGTGGCCGGGGTCATCCTCGGCATCGGGAGTGCGTGGTGGGCTGTGGGTGAGGGGTGGATGGGAGCAGCCTGGGGGACAGGGGTTTTCGGGACAGCTCTCGGAGAGGGTCCTGGGGTGGTGGCTTTGGCGCTCTCTTCACAGGCCCCGCTCCTCCTAGGTGTCCTGGGTCTCATCGGCTCCGTGTGGTACGCGGTGGACGTCTACCTGGAGAGAGCCGCGCTGGTGGCCAACAACGTCTTCTTGGGAGTCCACTACGACTTCGGGTGGTCCTGCTGGCTGGGGATGGCCAGCTCCACCGGCTGCCTGGTGTCATCCGTGGTGCTGACCTGCTGCCTCCACGTCCGCATGGGTCAGCACACGCCATCCCTTTCCAGCTGCACAGGGGCCGGCAAAACCCTCCGGGGGGGTGACACTGTCCCCCATTTCTTCCAGCAGGCCCCAGCAGCCACCAGCAACCCCGGGGACCCGTCCACGCGCGGGGACAGACGGCCACCAGCAAGATGTACGCCATGGATTCCCGTGTGTGACGCCATCCTGCAGGCCACAAACGCATTAAAGTGCTGTCACCTATGCCACGCCCCCAAAAATTGTTTGTTTTTCTTTTAAATAAATAAAAAAAAAACCCAAGGAACAGCATGCCAGGGCAGGGGAGAAGAACTTTGCAACATCACCCCCTTCCCACCTCATTTTCCCTGCGGAACATTGGCCACTTTGAACAAATCTGGTCCATAGTGTTTCCTGTGTGGAGCAACACTGACTCCATGTGGCCAGTGACCCCAAGGAGACCATGGCCCACTGAAGTTTTCCCTGTGCTCAGGAATTTGGCCGCTGGCAAGCTCAAGGGGGAATGGTTTTCCAAAGGATTATCCTCCTCTCTTTGCAAAACCTGGGGAAAAAAAACACTCACCCGAGAAATGAGCAGAGAGAAAAACTGCTCTCCTTGCTGCTCTCAGTCCTTGTCTCTGCTTCTAAAATGGAAGCACTCCCAATTCCGGGAATGTTGAAGGCATCAGAGGGCAAAAGCCACAGCTTTGGCCTCTGCTATGGGTTGGAAATCAGACGTTGGGTTAGAAACAGCTTTGGATGATCTCTAGAGAGCCCCTAAAAATCTCTATCCAGACAGAGCAGCCCAAACACTCATTTTCCCCTCAAACCTACCTGGAAACTTGCTGTTTTCCCCCGCTTGCCCTATATCCCCCTTTCCTCAGCATCAGACAGCAGCTGATTTGGCAGGATCTCACCTGTAAGAGCCTGAGATGGGTGTCAGTGGGTCGGATGATGAGTTGAAGTACCCAGAGCTCAGCTCCATGTCAGTCCTTTTCCCGTGGGGAAGCAACCAAATTACTCCAGCAGCTTTTAGAAACCTTCAGTTGGCACCAAGCTCTTCCATCCAGACCCATTATCAAGGGTCACCAGCACCTAACGACTCCCAACTCATTAAAGTAGAAAAAAAGAGGGATCAAACCACCCATGTGCCCAGCAAGAGCCCAGGCCTTTCCCCTCGGGACAGAAGAGGCTCTGGAGGCCTCCAGGGATGTTTCCCCACAAGAACCTGGGCTCAGAAACAGGCAGCAAATCCAATTGAATCCCACCCTGGAAAGCGAGGGAAGGGCAGCCACAAACACGCACCAGCAGGCCAGGAATGGGAGAATAACTGACTTGTGGTCACACACGTTTCCCTCTGGCTTCAAAGGGAAGAGCACAGGAGCTCAGCGCTTTGATAAAGATCTCTGAACACAAAATAAAGTGGGCATTTTGTTTTCAAATCCTCCTACAAGCACTTAACTTGCAATTTTTCGTATTAAAAGGGGTTTAAAAGACAGCCAAGCACACAAGATAATTCTTTAAGACCTTTATTAACAGATGCTTGCAGTTTGACTTGAAAAAATCAGGTGTACATTTCATACAAATTAAAAATGAGGTTCTTAAAAATCTCAACTTGACCAGATATGAAACAATTTAAAAACCTTTAAAGGTGTATTGAGAAAAAACAGGCTTTTAAAAAACGTGTTTATCGTTTCCAAAAGGAGACTTCTTTAGGTAAAAATAATAAAAACCCCATGCTGCATAGATAATGCAGATAGTTCTAGTAATCTGGTCAACAGCAAAAAGCAAGCACTTAAGGTCTTCAGTTCCAATTCTTTTGTTCATTTCTTATTGCTGGAATTTCATTTTCTTTTCTTCATTTCATAGTCTTTTCTTTGATGACTAAACTGGAAAAGAAATAAAAAAAGAATCATCAGAGGGTACCAGAGACGAAGCTACTTCCAACCTGAGCTCACACAGAGCTACTTCACCCACACACAGGTGGAAAATCCTAACTCGCACATGAGCAAGATGCATCTCCACTATCAGGTCACCTGCCAGGGATGAGCAACGTCCTCCCATTTGGAAAACCTACAGCAATGGTTTCTAGAGAGTCAAACACGTGGTCATGCCATCTACACCTCTCCCCTCACCATCCTGCTTTGGAGACATCCATTTTTTGTCAATTTTATCCAGGATACGACACCGGTTCACGTCACACACGGAGGATGCGGTGGTTAAACTTGCAGGGGCAGCAAACAAGTGACACAAATGACACCCAGCAAGTTCCGAGCCCTTCAAGGGTTCCTCGGGGCCAAAAGGCTTGTGGCTGCCCATGGCCACCTCCTGGCCATTGCTAACTCTGATTGCATTTCTGATTAACTTCATTAGTGTGACTGTTAATTAGCACTCACACCAGAGTCTAAGTGCACCTTCCTGTTTGCCTGCCTTCCAGGCAGAGACTGGTGAAGGAAGGCAAGGGGGAAGGAGATGAACACCGGAAAAAAAAGGAAATGCAAAAGAAAAGGGAGGAAGAGCAGACAGGGAAAGTGCCAGAAAAGGTAGAACCCAGGACAAGAACAACCATCCATGCAGGAATGTATTCCAACTAGCACCACTGTGCAACAGGAGACAGCACCAACCACGTGCCAGATCACAGCCTATCGGCCTCCCAGGGAAGGTATTTTAGTGATTCACCCTCACACAACCCTCCCACAAACAGCAACACTTTGCCCTGGAAAACTGGGCCCCAACCCAGCCACTGCCCAGATACACTAACCACTGCACAGAAAGGCTCCGTTAGGTCTTGTAAAGTCTCTTTTTATTTTGTTCAAATAAAAAGCTGCTAATGAGACACTGCTGCAAAACCCATGCCAGGTTATTAGAAATTAACACCTGGAGACCTTAATTCTGTTCACATCCCCTCTGGGATTGAGCAGTAGAAGCCAAAATGATTTTAAATCCAAGAAAATTTTCCTCGGGGACTTTGCACAAGTTGCTCCTAGCAGAGCATTTTCAGTCCCTGCACTAAACCACTACCTATTGGATTTGTATTTATGGGACTGTCCTGAGCCTGAAATACGGAGTAAAACAAAGAGTTTAAGACTGATTCACTGACAAAAAAGCCTGTTGGTAACCAAGTCCTCTAATTAACCTGTGTTTAGCAGTAAAGCCTCACAACTCTGTCCACCTTAATGACGACACTCAGCTGACCTGCTTCTTCCATACAATATGCACTAGCAGGAACAGTTCAAGCTTGTACGGCAAAAATTGAGGGGAATTTTGGTAGCAGGTCAATCAAAGGGCCCCGTGGAGGGCTCTGCGCACGCACCCGGATGATGGTAGAGATGTTAAGCCGGTATTTACTCAGCCCCGCCCTGCTCGGCCTCGGGAGCGGACGTGTTCTCAGCTGGTGGTTCGGCTGTCTTCGTCTCTTTGCCATCTTGTGGTTTAGGGTTCTCTGGGCGTCTGCGTCGGTAGTTGAAGTTACGCCGGTACCGACGTTGAGGTGGCTGCTGACTTTGGGTCTCATCCCCTTGGTTCTCTTTGTCTTCTTCGTTCCCGTCCTCCCGCGGCTGTCTTTGACGAGGAGGACCCCTGAAAGTCAAGCTGGGCTTTAAAAATGCAGCACCTGAGCAAGGCGACATCGCGTGCGAGTTGCCAGAGCGCCAGGCGAGCAGAGCCGGGGCGCAGCATACCTGCGAAACCGCGGTCGATACCCTCGATACATGTTCTGCCTGACTGGTCTGCCTTGCTCTCCTGCACCCTGGTTGTCAGCACCCTGCAAGACATGGGGCAAGGAGCCACCTTAGCCGCACGAAAAAGCACAAGAACAACGAGCCAACGGGGCCCGCTAAGAGGGGAAGGGCGGTGGGGTTGTCACACACATTCTAAAATTTAGAGTTCCAGTTCATCACACAAAGTTGATACCAAAGTTGACACAACTGACATCAGCTTCCCTGAGTGTCTTTGACAGGGGATCCCATCACCCCACCCCATGGGAAGTTGGTCAGGAATGCTGGATTTTGTGCAAATTTTACCTCTACTATCTCTCCCTGCACGGGAGGGTTGGAATATTGTGGTCGACGCCCGTAGGGCCTACGCATATAGTAAGGTGGGTACCGCCGCCTGCGGTAAGGACGGCGTTGCTGGGCTTGACCTTCTTGGATGTTCTCTGCTCCTTCGTTCTTTTCCCCACTCTCACTGTTCTGGTAGTTTTGCTGGTAGTTGCGTGGAGGACCCCTACGACGTGGATATCGTCTGTAATGGTTACGGTCTGCTGCGTATTTACTGCCTTGCACTGGAACTCCACCAGGACCTGTAACATTAGCTGCCTCCGCGCCCTGAGGAATAAGGACGAGAGAAAACAACACGCAGCAAATCAGTCATGGGATAATATAATTAAATACTGAGCAACGATTTACATCCACACAGGAAGACAATGAGAAACCATTAGTCTCCTTGGATGTCAGGAGGCATCTGCTCAAACCACAGCCACCACACCAAAAGCAGCAGCCCGGGTTGCTGTGCACGCAGCGGCGCCCGGCGCGCGCGCTTACCTTCTCTCCCTCAACCACATCAAACTCCACGGTCTCTCCATCTCCTACGCTGCGGAGGTACTTCCTGGGGTTATTCTTCTTTATGGCAGTCTAACAACATAACATTCCAGAATTACATTTACAAGCACAGGATAAAAACGCTACTTTGCATATGTGAAGTCATTAAGGCCAACTTTAAGTGCTTAAGTTCTTAGCAGGAAGACACGTCCTCTTGAAGGAGCGATTAAATCACACTGAAAAACCTACAAAAAGCTGTGAAAATTACCTGCACTGCTATAGCTCTGACATACCTGAACCACAAAGGCCTTCCAGGAATGTTTAACACACACACACAC